AAAATAGCAAAGGTATGAAACAAAAGTAGTCCAAAACCTATGAGTGAGTGTGTGAAGATTCTAATATATAATACAGTCTAAAAAGTCGGTTGGAATATAATATGTGTTCCTTAAAATATGAGCATTCGCCCCTCTTTTGTTTTTTTTTCTTCAACGGGATATATTTCTTATAATTTATGAAGCACGGACACGAACACGAAATATAAATACGATACGAATACGAATATAATGACATAATAAATTTTAAAAAAATAGAACACGGACACGGCGGAGATACACCTATATATATATATAAATTTCTTATAATTTATGAAGCACGGACACGAACACGAAATACGGGTACGATACGATACGGATACGATGACACGGTAAATTTCAAAAAAATAAAATACGGACACGGCGGGGATACACCTATAAAATTATATATATATATATATATATATTCAAAATATAATAACTATAACCTTGCACATTCATTTTCCTAATAACAAACAAGTATATATAAATACAAAATTGCAAATAAAACAATAACAAATAACATGACCAATTTCAATAATTTCATCTCTGTTATAAGAAAAACATAGACAAGACAAAACAGAAAATAAATGAAAAATAAAGTTGATCCAAATTCCAAACGAAGATGTGCAAAAGAGACATAGCTATAATGAGCTAAATATGTACATAAATAAACATATATATTTTCAGTCTTTCACAAAGTCTTGTTCATGTAACTTAAAAAAAAAAAAATGTCTTGTTCATATAAAGAAATAATTGAAGAAGATGAGAGACTGAGAGAAGAAGTGAGAGAAAATAAAATTTCTGTGTAATACTCTTGTCTGTAGTTGTTTTTTTATTTTTTTAAAATTTTACTTTTAAACTTTTAAAATTAGTAAATTACATTAGGTATCCCATTTTTTTTAAAAAAAAAAATTACAAAATACACCCCGCCGTATCCCCCGCGTGTCCGAGCCGTGTCCACCCCGTGTCCTCCGCGTGTCCGAGCCGTGTCCAATAAAAAATAATTTCTGGACACTTCACAGAAGTATTGGACACGTGTCCGAGTCTCGGACACAAGTGTCGGTATCCGAAAAGTGTCCGACACTGATACGGAATTCCTGAAAGGAATGTCCGTGCTTCATACCTTATAATTAAAGATTAGAACATAAACGTATGGGCTATCGACCCCAATGGAATATTATGGAAAAGCCTATTTATAAATGGAATATGTTATTTAGGGACAGTTTAGCTAGTGCTTTTGTTTTGTATTTTTTTTACTTTTGTTAACATACTGTAACAAAGTAAAAGCACAAAGCATATTTGATAATACTTATTGTGTTTTTTAATACTACCGAAAGTATAAAAATGATATTTTTGTTTGTTTCAGCACTGCAGCAAAGCACTGTTCATAATAAAAAAAATTAAAAAAATCTAAAATAATATTTTTAACTAACCATTCAAATTTTCAAATTTGCAATACTTTTTACCAAACATGCTCTCATGTTTTTACTTCTAAAAATCTTGTAACAAATTTACGTTACTAAACAAGCTTCTAAATAGTGTTGAACATATTCTAAAAACAGAAACATTGCTTTCGCTTCAAATCAAAGCAAAAGCACAAAGCAACTGTGTTGTCAAACGGGCCCTTAATTTGCACATGTTTATTCTTTTTTTGGGTTAGTGGTTAGGCCTACTAAGAAGCTCATGCATTCAATTTAACAGAAACTGGGATTTAAAGCCCATTTAATAGGTGTCCATAATTTCATCAAAACATCCCGTTCCATAAGCCCACGCCAATCCGGCCCAATTGGTTTTGCAATTCACCTGTAATGAGACCTAGTTTCGTGTAAATATATCACTATTACGTCTTTTCTCATTGTTATGCTCTCGTTTTGAACCTTGTTCGAGTCCTTTTTATTTATTTTTTAATTAGAATCAAATTGTTTCTCTTTATTGGTCCACTCATTGGTTTTAAAATGCTCTCAAACATAATACTATATACCAGATATAAAAAAATAAAAATAAAAAGACCAACTTGGAAAAATATATATATATATATATTTTTTTTGTCTCATTTTATTTTAGTTTTTGCTCCATGAAACTTTTAACAAATGCATTCAACATGTGTTGTTTTGTATTGCAAGTTAGATTTGTCATTTAACATGTGTTTTGTATTGCCTTATATTGTGCAACTTTTAGAATTTGACCATTTTATATGCTATCACGGAATTTTATTGAAATATATGCATATTTGGCCTTGAAATGTTAAAGATTTAAAGGAAAAAAGATATAATAATGTATGTATTCGAAGAATGTTTTGAAGGTTTTGTAGAATCGGAACAGCATAAAGAAGCCCAATTTGGTGGGAAGTTTAGCAAGAAGCTTTGGGATTACGAGATATTCATGAAATTAATGAAACTATGTTAGTCATAGGTTTATTAAATTTTTTTTTTTTTTTTTTTGATTCCTTCATCGACAACTCTCAACTCTCTTAGACTTCCCTTCCAATGATGAATTCCCTTAATTAAAATTAAAGGAGTACTTTGGAATTCATAGGGGATTTATTTGTTTATATATCGTTCCATTCGATCTTTTAGATTTCGACTTCACCTCAACGGTTATGCTACGATGTCTTTAAAATCTATATGCTATGGATAGACTCCTGTAACCATGACATATTTGCTATTTGCTTGCTTAAATAGAAGCATAATTTCTTTCTAAAAGAAAGAAAATGGTTAATTCCACAAATTTCATTATCTATGGTTAAGCACTGTAGTGTGAGTTCTAATGTAACAGTAAAATAGTTGAATTATGGTTTTAGTTCATTGTCTTCATTTCAGTTTCAATGGCAATAATTAAAAAGGATTTGACACATCCATTGTTGTATACAACTCGTGATCACACAGTTTTCAGCAGTCCAGATTTTTCTGAAGAAGATGCCAAAGTTGTCAGTCTCGTGCACAATTTATATTGGAAGTTGGAACACACTCTCTAGACTATATATATATATATATATATATATATATATATATATCAACAATTTTACACCGTCTTTGCCTGCATATTTGCGAGTGTTTTGTCTTTATGCAATGTCAAATTCCATTGAAACAACATCATTCTTTTCCAAGAAAATGAGGTCTTTGTGAATTCAGTCTCATCGTTTAGCATAATTGTAATTTGTAAATATCAATATACTGGTCTAAGATGCTTCATAATCATCATAGTCAAAATAGTGTTTCAGATCTTTCTTTAGTAATAATTACTATTATTTTATATATCATTGCCTTTGCTTTCCAACTTTGATGGTCGATCTCAACATAAACTTAACATATACAATCTAGTTGCTGCATGATTTTAAGATAAATTTATTGTGTATGAGTGAACGTGTGTGCTTTTCATATTTTTCTAATAAAAAGTTGCATCAGTAATTGTGTGTGTGTGTGTGTGTGTGTGTGTGTGTGTGTGTAGGATAGTATAATAGTTGATTATGCACAATTATTGTTGTTTTTGTTCCTTGATTGTCATGATCATCTCGCATAGTATTCTTTTTGGGAACTTTTTTTCTTGTTTTCATTAGATCAACAATACTTTCTTCTTTTCCCTTTTTGGTCCTAGCTTGATAATGAAGTACACGGTTTTTTAAAAGAAATTGGGAAGGTATGCTTTATTTGATCTTATGAGATCCATGGAAATTGCAAAGAATGTCCGAAATTAGACAATATAAGTCACCCAAAAGTTCATTTCCGATCCTTTAAAGATTTAAGAGTTCAATACATTTACTTGCGTGTCGAATTGTGATTGACCAGATCACTAATCCCGAATCATGTAATAATTTCTCATTCAATTTTTTTTATGAGATATAATTGATTTGAGGTTGTTAAAACACTTTTACAAGTTGTCTACTTGAAATTTTCCTTTAATTCTTGGATTGGACCACAAGAATTTTTTAAAAACCTGGCATGGACCACAAGAAATTTGATTTCTTGAAAAGGTGTTTCATAATGATTTCATTCTTCTGTATTATTTCTTGGACTGTACCTTGCATGGCTGCTTAATAAATGCCTCATTATTTATTAATTTGAAGCCAGAGAAATACCATAATCAATCATAAAGAACGCCAGCACTGCATAATTGACTCATTATTACCATTACATTTTTAATTTTATATGAACAATAATACTCCTCTATTGAGGCAGGAGTAAGAACTTTCTTATTCTAGGAACCTCCGTACAACTGGCATGTCACGATATGATTGCATCATATTAGTAAATATGTAGTGATAGATGGACCTGCCTTGGAGGATGTATCATCAGGGAGAATACCTTATGCTATGGCTGTTGTTGCAGGCAGTAGCTCATGGCAAACTATGGAATCCATGGTGTTCATCCACAGGGAATCATAGATATTGGATGAGCCAAGCATACCACCATATTCGCGCCAAGCATGCCACCTTATTAGTATATGCTTGTTTCATTCACAAATTTCGCTGATATGTCGATCCAATGAAACAAGCATATACTAATAAGGTGGCATGCTTGGCGCGTCCAATTTCGTTACGTAACACTGAGAAATACAGATTTTCTTTCCTGCATTCCTCCTCAATGTGGTCCTGAGTATCTTCCGTGACCTAACTTCTGTGCACTCCCAATTTCACTAATAGGGATAGAAGATACAGGTTTCTGAAACTGGGAAAAGTGTACCAACAAAAAGACAGCCTAACTCTGCACAACACTATATTCAAATTTGTCAGTCCGTTATATGGTTGGCTTGGTCATTGGATTATAAATCTGTTTCACTTACATTCCCTCCTCCCTTTCTTGTCATTTTTATCCTCCAGAGGAAGCAAGGTATAAAAAGATTAATCACCAATCACTAATCATCAATCACTACTGAGTCGACTGTGTTATTGATTTCACAAGTATCTCAAAAGTAGAATTAATAATGGTTTAAGAATTCTTGGATTTCAAAATGCAACTCTAATTTCTCAATTGTAAATTCAAGTATAAGGAATCATCATCACTATCAATACCACATACAATGCAGTGAGAAAAATGAAAATTACAAAGTAATATTAAGTAATTGCTATCGTAGTGACCCCATTATTTGTTTGAACTGATGAATGACAAGGTGAAAGGGGTGCTAACAAAATCTAAATACAGAAAAGAATGGAGAATAGACACTGAACCAACTCGACACAAGTCCAAACCACACATCCACACATCACAACATATACTTGGTCTTTTTACCTCTACTTAAAGCAGCAAATCCCAATTGAATTTGGGACGTGCCGGTTCATTGGTGGTCGAAGTGGAAGAAGCTGGAATGGCATCGAACGTTTCCCATTTCGTGGTTATGACAACGTCCCCTGACGACGTTGAACGCCTTGAGGAGTGTTGCTGCTGCTGCTGCTGCTGCGGTGTTTGCATAGCCGAATACCCACCACCGGAAGAATGCCTTGAATGCAGCTGTTGAACTGGTGAATGTACTAAACCATTTGAGTGCCTCGGTTTTTGATGCTGCTGAAATGGTGGTGGCTGCTGTGGTTTTTGACTTCCATTGCTGCTTGGCATTGAGTTTTTCATCTTTAACACATCAAGAGTTTCGACATACTTCTGCACTCTTTTCACCTTCAGTATTATCATGAAGTGATAATTGACAGTTCAATCAGTCCAATAAGTAATTCAATGAAGTGATAATTCACAATTCAATCAGTCTACTACTAAGTAATGCTTTCAAACATAAAACTATGTAGAGAAGTAAACTTTACCTGCATTTTTCTCTGCAACTTCACATCTCCATCCACAAAAATCCCATCCAACTTTATCAATTGATTCATTAACAGCTCAATCAGACTCAATACATCCTTCTCTGCAACTTTCCCACCTCTCGAAATTACGGATTCAAGAGCCGACACCTACCACCCAATTCAAACCACAATTCAATTCTCCACATTTCAATCAAATAAACAAACCTCATCTGATTGAATTGAAATGCTCAAGCAAAGAAATTTACCTGACCCGCGAGCCTATCCACCTCCAAACTGATCTCGGAGATGGACTTTGAAGCCTTCTCCAATTTAGCATTCCTTCGCATCTCCAGGTACCTTTTCTCTTGGCTAAGTGCGTCCTCAAGCAGCACGAGCTTGGATCGGTCCTTCACACCCACAAAGTCAAGAAAAGCATTGGAGTCTCTCTCCTTGTCTTTGAACAGCAATTTCTGATCTTGGTGGTGCAAACCCGTTGGCCCGGATAACATTTTTTTCAAATCCCCTGCAAATCAATCACAAACCCATCAAACACCTTATTTTCATACTCAATTCCCAAAAATAAAATTCAATTCAATTATTGGCAATGAAGGGGAAAAAAAGATTTGATTTTGAGTTACCAAATGTGGCTTGAGAGCTGATATTGATTTCGTGGTATATGGACCCATACTTGACCCGAACTCGAATGGTGGGTGGGGGAACGCGGTTTTGATCTGAATCCGGGTTCCGCTTCTGAACCAGCATTCCTCCGGGTCTCAGCTCCCATTCACCCTCGCCGCCTCTTCCGCCACCGACACCGTCTCGTGAGCTGTCATTCACCGGTGACAGCCCCGTCGTTCTAGTCTTCATTCGCATCATCTTGCTGTTTGATTTCGGGAGATGTACGGAAGGTTTTGAATCAAAAGTGTTTCGATTTCAATTCCAGAGACTCAGATCAAAATTTTCTTCTCTCTGCGATTTTTAGTCGAATACACAAAACCCATCCCAGAAAAAGCCAACTTAGACCCAATTGTGACAGCCAGTTAGACCCACGCGTGTAGGGAGAGAAAAGTTAGAGAGAGAAAACACTCCCCCTCGAATAATCGATGGCTTTCTGGAAAAAAGAAATCAAACCCAAATATCTTCAAATCTTAATCGTCGGCAAGAAGAGATCGCCGGACCGACACGTCTACCGCCGGTTGAAACGCCGGCGGAAGAAGAAGTAGTGAGCAGACGTTCCTCTGTGAAATCTGAGAGTTCAAAAGAGAGAAATTTCAGATCTCTCTTTCAACGCAAATGTAGGCAATCAATAGTAGCGTGAAAAATGCCAAAATTATCGAACCAAACAATCTAAATAAAGCGAACCGTTCGATTAAACAAACCTACCGGAAAAATCAATGCCGGCAGAGACCAAAATTTTGAAATAAATGAAATAAAATTCGAATCTTTTTCTCTTACTTGGTATTCAGGGCAGGAGACCCTAACAAGAAGAGAGAGAAAGAGAGGGAGACAGAGAAACGAAATAAACAAATGAATCGACAGCTAACACAACAATATGCAGAGAACACTACATATATATTACTAATATATATGAATAATCTTATATTATGTATTAATTACACACACATATATGTCATCCAAGGTGTGTGGACTATGGATACATACAGTTTAATTTCTAAATGAATTGTTTTACTAACAAATAAATAAATAAATAAATAAAAGAATGTTAAAATTACGGAAGTACCCAATGACTTGCATTTCAAAAGTAGATGGAAAGAATTCACCAGTTTTATTTAGTGCATGCTATTGTGCGCGTTGACCTGATTGGTGATTGGTGACTAGCCTTAATTAGCTCACAAGTGTCTGTCTGTAAGGGTGTTTTAGTAATTTAATAAGATCCAATCATTAGACAGTTAATCATGGAACTAATTGAGATTAGTAAAAGTGTTCAAAAAGCGGGTATATTGTATTATAGTGCTCTGTTTTGTAAAGAAGAGGAACAAATAGCAACGGAAGGAAATACTTATTCCAGAGGCAAGGAAACAACTTCTCAGTTTTCACAATTTTTTTCTTTGGGAGAAATGAAATTAATATTCCACTTTACAAATTTGTATTTGATGTATATGTATATATTTTTTCTTAAAAAAACAAACATTACTTTTATTGAAAGCACTTAGATAGGTAGAACATTAATCATTATTAGAACATATGTAAATTACACTGATATTTCAGTTTAGACAAATTACACATTGATGGATTGTTCAGGTTTATTACTTATATTTCCTTTTTGAAAAACGAATTTGAATGTGAAAAATAAGTAATACCCTTATATTATAATAATATATTACATCACATTTTATACATAGGAGTGACAAATTTGTTATTTTATAAAAAAATTCTCCAGTCAGTCAAAAATATAAATTTATATTAGAAATGTGACTTAGTGCACACATTAAATCTCGAACAAGGTCAAAATAATAAATATTAAACGATCGTATGTAATTTGTTCAAACTTGTGAGGGAATAGTGTAATTTACCCTTACAATTTTTGTTTTGGATAGTTATTTACCCTTATAATATTCCACTTTTGAACAAGAAATTTACCTTTTTATTAAAAATTTAATACAATGCAAATGAAATAAATACATGGCAACATCACCTCCTTCCTTCATGGTTTGTTCAGTGTGAAGAAAAGAAAAGTGGTGGAAAGAAAATAAGAAGGAATGAATAAATTTTTTTCTTTTCGTAAAAAAGATACAAGGAAATAAAGGATAATAGGAAAGTCCTCTTTCATAAATTTCATTCATCAAAATATGGACGAAAGATAGGAGAGAAGACAAGCGAGCCTAATATAAAAGTTTTAAATTACTACATCATCCTTCATAAATATTTAATAAATCCTATAAATAAGTAAGTAATGGGTTTAATAGCAAAAATAACTTTAAAATTTCTCTCTCCTACCAATCAAATTAAATAGTCAGTTTTTTCCATTCTTTTTTCATCCGACTGAACAAAAAGAGGAAAACACTTATGTCTCACTCAGTCTATCGTTCTTCTCTCCCTTCAATTCAATTTTTTTCCTTCCTAAGGTTCATTTAGTGATGAAAATTAATAGTAAAAAATAGAAATAAATAAAGTGAATGAAATAGAAACAAAAATAATTTTTCAACATTATACCATGATTTGTATAGAAAGAAATTTACATTAAATTCATAAAAAATAATCAAGAAATTAATTTTTTGAGTTTTTTTAGCTAAAAACTTTATAAAAAAAAAAAAAGGTAATTATGAAAAAAATTTGGTTTCCATCTATTGCTATTTAAACTCTATAAAGTAAAATTATAAAAGAATAATGAAAAATATTCCTTTTCTTTCTTTCAGACCCTCAAAATTCCAATAGTTGATACCTGTCATACGTGTCACACACTGATACGCTAGCGACCTTTACAGAAATCTTGTCACACTTTGTTTTCCACTTTCGCTCTCTTCAACGTGTGAGCTAAGGCATGCCACCGACACTTTGAGAGCACACGATTATCGACAACTTCATCACTCCGCAACTTGCATTTCTGAGCCGTATGTTGGTATTCCCACGTGGTGGGGGTAAACATCTTGTGCACACGCAGCCCGATACATATGCTACAACCTACTTTTCTATGTATATATATATATATATATATATACACGGAGTATATCATAGTATATACTGTATAATAATTAACTTATTGACATTAGGTTTCAAACAGTCGGTTTTTTCAACTTGTTTTATTGCTATTACTTATTAGTGGTTTCACATAATTTCTGTAGGACTATAATCAATCTTTTTTATAAAAAATAAAAAAATTAATTTCAAAACTATAATCAAGTTACCACCAAACCTATATTTTGTTTTACTCTTGTGTGTTTATTTACACACACCATCTTAAAGCTTTGATGTGTCAAAAAAAAAAAAATCTTAAGGCTTTGATGAATATTGTAAGATGAATGATTTACAAAATAAGATACGTCTAATCAAAGATAATTCTTTTTTTAATGTGTTTTTTATTGTATTAATACATTTTTTAGATAATTTAAATGTTTGTTGCAGATTGTCCTTTGTGATCAATAAAGCAATGGACCAAAAGAGCCTTTCATGATGTCTTTTTCAGTTCAATCAAGGATATAATTGACTAGATCAAAAAAATAAAAAGTCTATTATTAAATCATTATGGCCTACACCAAAAAAGTCATTTCCTTATCTGTTAATAAATTATTTGATATTGCCTTTTTCAATTTGTATTCGCTCTGTTTCTCGATTTATTATTATTATTAATTTTTAATATGGAAAAAGAAACGTAATTAAAAATTATGTTTGACGCATGGCATGAATTGGGTTGTGAATGTCACTTATGAAGGGTTGAAAAGTCTATTTTGTATTCTTTGTTTATTGGTGCAATGTTACCCTCTAATTGAAATCTGAAAATGAAAATGCAACAACTGACTGGTGTGATCTAATTTTTTATATTATTAATAATACATAGGATGTGACACAAACAATTAATTGGATTTGTGTCTATCTATCCTGCCAAACAAAGGTTGGTACGTAGCTAGGGTTTTTAGTGTGTGTTGCAGACCAAACAAACTGTGTTCTAATGCAGAGCTGTATTGGTGTCACATATGTGTTTGTTGCTTGAGAAAAAGAGGTTTAAGATTTAGAAAAATCATGTTCGTATAATGGCATGTTAGAACATAGAAATGACACTATCATTGGAGGTGAGGTTGGTGTCTCTTACACTACTTTTGGACTTTAGGCCCCTTTCGAGAAGAAAAAGACTCAAAATGATGATGATAACTTCAACCTCTGTATTATAGATTGCATCTACTCAATTATTCTTAATATTGCCAACTCATCGTAAGTTTTGAATCTAAGCTAACTATATTAACTTTCCATTTTTATCTTTTTTGAGTCTTATTCTAACTTTCTGACATCGATCACCAACACAATGTGTCGTGAATAGTTGATTGTGTTAGTTTCGGACCATGTATCATTACTCAAGTTAAACTCTTAGGTTATATTGATTTTTTCTGTATTTGAGAGTTTCTACTATGACACCTTCATCATATGTAGTCTGTGATATATTATTTTTTCAAGTCTTCATGTGGCATGCAATTGATGTATGTTCGTTACCTAATCTGGATCCATTATTCAATGAATTGAAATGGGTGCAGAATTTGACAAGGCCCAAATTTAGCGATGATGATATATATAAATATATATAAGTGGTCCATAATTTTATCTGTGATCAAAATGATGTATTAACAAAACTCTAGTATGAATTGGTCTCTCTTTTGGCCTTTTTTTACTTTTGGACATAATTAAAGTGATCAATTCTATCAAAATCAATGAATGGGACTACCGCCCCAATGTTAATAATACAGATGTAAGGGGTGTTTGGCTAACTAAACTAATCTGATTCTCAACACTTAACTGAGAAATTGTTTTTTTCTTTTTTTTCTATTTTTTAATTATATTTTACATTTGCAAGAGAAAAGGAATGAGTTCATTTTGAAAGGCAAGAAAGACATAAATATAGTTAGGTCTAATCAAATGGTAACAACATGATGTGTCAAGGACAAAATGGTCTCTTTTTATATCAAAAGTGTCATGTAGTAAACCTTTACACTAAGTCACTGACATATATGTAGTTAACAATAATTACTAGGCATAACTTCCGAAAAAAATAATAATAATACTAGGCATGCGTTTTTTTCCATGCTGTTTTATATAGGCTTAGACATTTTAAAATTTAAGGACAAATTACACTAATATTTTTTGAAGTTTGAGTAAATTTCACATTGATAAAATTTTTGGCATTCATTACTTCGAATTCTTCTAAAAATATGAAATGTTTTTCATACCTGTGTCTAATTTAATTAAAAAAAATTGTCAAACCAAAACACTATTATATTTTTTTTTCCGTTCTTGTAAATATTATATTTTGAAATAAAAAAAAAAAAAACAAAAAAAAAATTGTTCTTTTAAAATTTAATTATATGAAAATTAATATTTCGCATTTCAATGGTTTTTCAAGGTATTTTTGTCATTTTATGTTAAAATATAAAATTATTGAAGTTTTTTAACATAAAAAAATGGCAATTTAGTCATTTTTTTAATTTTTATTAACGACAAGGTGTCTTTGAGTACACGCGTAAAATCTCAAGGGAGGTCAAAATAATAAAGTTCAAACGATTTATCTATAGTAATTTGCCTAAACCTCCAGAAAAGACAATGTAATTTACCCTAAAATTAAACAAAGAAGAGGACTATTGTTCCTACTTCTATCACAGGCTCACAGCAACTTGACTTAATTCAAAGAAAAATCCACAAATAATCCATCCAAACGACTAAAGAAGGCCTATGATCAGGAGACAAAATGACCTTATCACAAAAAAACACAAGAACATGAATGGTAGGAAAGTAAAACTAATCCGTGTGCTGCTCTGGATTCAGTACATCTGATCAGAACTCAGAAGCAATGGCAGAGGTTTTAGGATCCTTGAGCTGCCAATTTTCATC